TGGAACAGATTAGAAGACATGGAAACAACTCCAAAGACACTCAGATACCTTATCTTTAACAAAGAGCCCAGCCACTGTCACTGGAAGAAAGATAAACTCTAATAAGTGTTACTGGAAGAACTGGATTTCCACTGCTGAAGACAAAACTAGACCCATGTCTCTCCCTTGCACTACACTAAAATCAAAATGGACCAAAGATCTAAATATTAAAACAGAAACACTAAATCTGCTGGAAGCGAGAATAGGTGGAACTATTGAAGATATTGGTGTAGGCAAAGACTTTAAGAACAAAACCCCAATTGCAAGGGAAATATTACAAAGAATCAATAGTTGGTATCTTACCTTACTAAAAAGCTTTTGCAAAGCAAAAGAAATCATTAACAGAGTAAAGAGATAATCTACTGAGGAGGAAAAATTGCCAGATATTCCACAGACAAGGGAACATCTTGTCTGTGGAACATCTGGAAAATACCTAAAATGCATAAGAATCTCAAAAGATCGAACTACCCCAAAACCAAATTTCCATACCCAATGCAAATTGGCACCTGAAATGAAATGACATTTCTTAGGTGAAGAAGTAGAAGTTGCAAATAAATATATGACAAATTTTCAACATCATTAATCATCGAAGAGACAAAAATTAACACAACACTCCAGCTCACTCCAGAAAGAATGGCTATCATCAAGAATCCAACCAATGACAAATGTTAGCAGAGCTGTGGGGAAAAGGAACTCTTCTTCACTGTATATTAGGAAATAAACCCACACAGCCATTGTGAAAATCAGTGTGGAGATTCCTCAAAGAACTGAAACTAGACACTCCATTTGCACTTATCTATTCCCTTTCTTGGTACTTTCCCAAAAGAACTAACAACATCTAAAATTGATCCTTATGGCTGAGCAGTACTCCATTGTACAAAAGTATCACTTTTTAAATAATGTCCTCAGTTGATGGGCAAAAAAATAATTGAAATTATATCGTAGTAATATGTATAAAAACCCATGTTTACAATGGTATTGCTTGTAATTGCTAAATTTTGGAAATAGTCTAAATGTCCATGAAATTAATCTTATGCTTGCAAAAAGGGGAATTGGAGGGGAAGGGGGAAAAAAAGGATCCAATGGCGTGATCTACGTGTACCAGTTCCAATCGTTATGCACTACCAACTTGACTAATAAACATAAAAATATAAATTTTACTCTCAAAAAGATCAGAAATATCTTCAATCTAAGTCACCACCAAAACTGTCACCTCCATTAAATGTGGAAAGCAGTGATTTGTGATCTTTTATTCTGAGGCCAGAAGGATATCTCAACAGGAATTAGCACCAGTTGGGTAAGCACAAGTTCCCAAGCTTCATTCCTCGGACAAAAAAAAAAAAAAAAAATCTTTTCATTCTACCACACGCATTTAATTTGCAGAATCATCTGCGGCCATTCAGCCCAAGTTGATTGTTGCCATCATCTTATACTTCATGCAAAACTAATAGCAACATAGCAATCTAAGAATTCATTCAGCTTCCACAATTATTTTTTACAGATTTTAGACCCAAGTGCCAGGAGGTAAGAATGTATTTGGTCATATGCTGTCACTGTTTTTTTCATTCTTAAGAAACATATTTGCTTACTTAGAAAACAATTATCCTCTTTCTCTTGAAATTTATAATTTAACATTCAGTACCTTCAAATGACGTTTCTTTTTAGTGTGACAAAATTCACAAGGTTCACATGAATGTATCACTACAATTATCTTATAGCTAAGAAGAGATTATCTGAGTGATAACCTGAGTCATTGAAGCCTTATTTAATAGGAATTTAGTATATATCACACTCAAATGTATTTTTCAGAATTGATTTTTAATAAATGAAGCAGAGTCCCTGGAAATAATGAAATGAAGGAACAAGGGCTTAGTAAATTTTGATGTGAAAAACATAAATGTGAAGAGGATCCTCTGAAAATGCCATAGATATTTTAACCCTGTCGACAGTTTGTGAGGTACTTTTGTGGTACATGGATGGCCTCATTGGTTGGGTAACCCCTTGAAACATTCATTGCTCACATCCTCTTACTTTAATATTCAAAAAATAAACCCTAAAAATCCTATGAAGTTTGGTCATAGGTGCAGAAGCTGCTATCCTTTTTTTTGAATATCATTCCTTGTTCTGTATTAGGAGAATCATTATTTTTATATATTTTTCAAAAGAATTTGATTTATTTGTGTGTATAAATGAACAAATGCATGTTTTCCTTCGGCTAGTCCCTATTAATAGCTGCCACTTGCAGAGTAAATAGCAAAATACTTTAGGCATTATATGTTAGTTAGACTTTCAAGTTTTGTATCATTTATTGACCTAATTTGTATGTTACTTGTGTTACTGTATAACTGTAGCACATGAAGGACAATAAAAAAGAGCAAGACTTAGTTTACTATGACAGCAACTTTATAATTGGTAGCTTCTTAGTGTGGCTTGCTACTTAAAGAGTATCAAAGCTGGCTTAAATTCTGGACCTACTCTAATTTGTATGATAGGGAACAGTGAATAACTGATTTATCTGTAAAATGTTGATATAAATTATATAATATATATATATATATATTTAAGAAGACTGTTGAAGTCAGTACACATAATTAATTTATCCTGCTGACACTGTAGCAATCACTATTCAATATCATTATCATGATATTTACCTTATCGTTTCAAAATATTTTTTAAGTTTTATATATTCACAATTTTATATATAACTTACCTGTACCACACACATGAATTTTACTTACAAATGCCTTTGATACATTGCTTAGTGTTATGTTTAAGCCAAAGTACATTATTATGACCAACACAGTACGCTGATACACACTAAGGAATGCACAAATGTGGTTATGAATTTTTCCTACCTAATCTATGTACGTAGTATTTTAACGAGTTCATTTTCTGAAGTTATAATTAGAAAATGAAACTAAATAAAAGCTTCTATTTCTATTGATTAATCTATCTTCTAGTATTACTTACTCCAGATAATATTAATTCAATAACCAAATATAATTTACTTTATCTGCCACATAGCCAAAGTGTGCATACGTCTTTGTTATGGGATTGTATAATCTGCTCCCATTCTGTTGGCTTTGCCTAATTTACCAGTTCATTTAATAAATGCTCAGAAATAATGCTGTCAGGATGCTGCCCTGGTTTAGTGTTGAATTTGTAGAAAATTAAAATGTATGTTCATACGACATTAGTATAATTACCCAAAACTGAGTTACTTACCTGCATTCAAAAAAGATAAATTATCCTTTCCACTCACACTTTCAGGGGCTGTACATTCATATACCAGTGCACACTGGGAAAGAAGAAAAGGACAAAAATCAAATATACTTTAAAATAATTGAAACAAAATTTTTTGCAAAAATGCAAGGCTATACACATGATTTCAAGAAATTTTGAAAAAAATCATTTTTGTAAACCTCTCCATCCTTACTGCAAATTCAACTTGTGATTTTTTTTTTGCTCACCTTTATATATGGAGTGTCACATTGATTCACAAACTGAACTGATTCTATGATATTGGAAAAGATGAACACATTTATGTTTGTGTGGTAAAGATGGCCGTGGTCTGCTTGATACCAAATTCTTTGCAAACAAGTGCTTGTGGGCCTCATGAGGTACCACTGTAATAACTTTTACTATATAATTATAGACTGCATTTCAATTCTGGTTGGAGACTACTCAGAAAATGTAAAAAGAGGAAAAGGATTTTCCCTAATTTGCCAGAGGTATATTCTTACTAGAGTAAATTCTATTTAACAAACAGAATTATTTTATCTGAGTGAATTTCAGATAAATGGAAGTCAAATTATTTTTCTAAAATTTAAAGGCAATTTTACGTGAAAGATAAAATATGTTAAAATCTCTAATTATAGATGACAAAAGCATTTGTGACTTCAAAAAAACAATGCAAATATTTGTTCATAAAGTATAAGGACTTGGGCTGGGGAGATAGCTCAGTGGTCTAAGCGCCTGCCTGGCAAGCGCAAGAACCTGAGTTCAATCCCTGGTACCATATGCCAGGCTATGCCACCCTAGAATGCTGTGTGTACCGTGCTGGCCCCAGGCATGGTGGTGCACACCTGTAGCCCCAGTGGTGGGGAGGTTGAAACAGGAGGATCAGTGAATATGAACTACATAGCAAGGCCCTGTGTCAAATAAATAAGTAAAAAGTATAAACACTACTTACAAATAAAGTGATTTTAGATTAAATTCATGACATTTGTAAAGCTGACATTTCTCTGGATGGCAAGAGAAAGGGCTCCTGGAAGTGTGCCTCCTTTTCTATTGACCAAGGCATGATGGGAGAGAATGTTCCAGAAAACTCATCCCTGTGCATGGCACTGCCACCCAGCTGCCTGTGAAACTATAACTGACAAATGTTTTTTTGGCCCTGGGAGTTTGATAAGAGAACAGTTTTAACATAGTAGGAGGTAGTACTTGCTAACTTCATCCCTAGCCAAAAGCACACGCGTGCGCGCGCGCGTGTGTGTGTGTGTATTACAGATTTTCACAAAAAAATTGAATAGATATATACAAATAATTGCAAACAAAACACACAGAAGGGCGAGAAAGTTTTCCAGAGAAGAGGAACAAAAGGTCCCAAGTAATCTTCTGCATGGCTCTGCTCAAAAGAACTCAGGGACTCAGACTGTCCCCCACCCCACTCAGGTCAATCTAAGGCTACTTCCTGAATTCCCAAGGCTGCTTTCCTGCTGGGTAATATGTGTCCCACCTCTCTTTGCTTTTATTCCTCCAGGTACAGGAGCAGTTACTTAGACATAACTCTCTTATAATCTACTAATTTCCCCATTGTGTATTCAGCACATTAAATAGCAAATTTATTTACTTACTGAATCAAAAAATGTGCTTTTATAGTTTTTCATTGGGGTCCTAGATCACTAAAACATGAAGACTGTTCTAAAATTCTAACCTTTCAATAATTTTCAGACCCACCAGGAATCACAGGTGGTCCGCTTCTTTGAATCCCCAGCTAGTTTGGAAATGCACGTTTCAAAACACTGAAGCAATGTCCACTGATGTTTGGATATACTTAAAATTCTTTACTTCACCCATTCCCAGTATTTCCTCTACTCCTTTCAAGCTATACAGAGCTGTTAAAATAATCGTCCATAAACACCATATTCATCATGTCATTGTGCTACTCCAGCATGTATAATGGCTGTTTACTGACAAATCAAATCAAATATTCTCCTATTGGCTTGGAAATCTTTCATGATTCATTCCTGACACACTTTCAGGTAATAGCTGGATATACAGCTAGGAGCCATTCTCTTTCCCAAAAAACAGCTACACCAACAACATCATGTGCAGGTTTAGACTGAATGTTTTCAGCAATGCCTGTGAGTCATAGAGCACAGGCCATTATGCTGTCAGTGGTTTCCTATGTGGAAGTAGCCCTGATTCCTCCTAACCAAAGACAGTTTCCTAGTGTGTGAAGGAAGGCCTTCATTGTTTTAAAAGGTGGTCTTAAAATGAGATTGTATTCACCCAAATTCAACAGAAGGGCAATTTCAACCCAATGATATTCCGAAGTTGCAGGTTTAAAAGCTCTATTCTTCAGAGCACTCAGAAGATTTAGATACATGGAAAATGGACAGAAAATATTCAATAAATAGTTACTACTTTAACTAATATTGATTAGTTTTCCACCAGGAATCTAATGAACTTGCATATGGATCTCTACCTTACAACCATCCAGAACTATATGAAAATATATTCCTATTGTTTAAGCTATCCCATCTAAGGTATTTTAAATAGCTGTCCACAGTCACTAATAGAAGCATCATTCTTTCTTTTATCTGCTTTAATCCACACAAGAGGTAACATGTGTCACTCTCAGGGCACGTAATTGTGGTACTAATAGAAGTTCTACTCCATTCTCTTTAAATTATGCAAACTAGTAAATGGGATATTATTTTAAGAATAATTTCTATTTCAATGACTTTCTCTTTTCATGTATGGTGTTCACTCCATGGCTAACAGACTGTATTAGTATACTTCAAAGGGATTTTGAATTAGCAGAAGGATCCATGCATTTACAGTCCTAAAAAAGCACCCCAGTGATTGGGACCATGCTTTGAAAAACACTACGATAAAGTTATTTCCTTAAACATCTTGTAGCTGTCATGCATATCAGACCTTACTCATGTTCTTTATTCAAACATGAATATTCTTAGAGACTGTCAAGATAGTTTCTAAGTCCTTTTTTTTCAAATGAAAAGGTCAAGGTATGCTAAAACTTCAGACAGGACAGAACTGATGCTAACAATATTGGGTGTGTTTACCATTTTTGTCAACTTCTGACTCATTCTCCAAGTGTGTACTGCTACTAACACCTTCTATTTCTAAAATAGCTCAGTTACATCTTTTTAAAGTTCACATTACTAAGCCAAAAGCACCATGTAGCACTTCGGTGGTATCACACACTTGATTTATAAAAGGAGCATGGTTCAATTCTTCCTACCGTATAATATTGGCAGTCTGGAGTCAAGAGTTGAGTGAGCTGAGAGGAGAATGGCTTGGTTGTTAGGAACAGACTCAGAGTCAGCAGACTCAGAGTTGGTGAAAACAGCTCTGCTTTGAAACAGGAAGTGTTTCTCCCATTATTCTTCTTGTCTAGAATTGCAGACATGAGTGTAATGGTCTATCAGCTTCTTCACTCAGTACCAAGAATAGTATCCAAGCTCTCGCTGACCAAGTTAATCTTAATATAAGAATTGATGTAGTGTTGGCAAAGATGAGTCTTACATGAACTCTAAAGAAAACAGGTTGGAATTAAGGGACCAAGCTCTAAAATAGGGACCTTGAATGCCCCGATGAGATCTTGAGGGCCCAAAGAAGCCCTGGCATCTGCGAACACCCCAATGTCAACTGTAGGTCTGCTTGGACAATGTTCATAGCGTGTGCTAGGATTCCAAGAGGAGCTTTCAGGAACAGAGAACAAAGACTGTGACCACCTCATATGGGGTAAAATAATATATTTTTGAAAATATATTTTTGTACAATGGTTTTAGCCTTTTTATAACATTATTTACTTGTTAACTGTTGGTGAAAACCATCTCTTTTGCAAATATTTTCATACTACCAAAACTAAACATGCTACAACAAACAATAAGCCAATAAATAGCTCACTAGTACTTATCACTTAAAATGGTTCATTTACAAAAAAAGCAGAAATTATAGTACATATATACTGTTTCCAAACAATTACAAGCAGTTTTAAGTCTGTTCCATGTGTCCCAATTGCTACAATAAAAGAGGCAACTTCACTCCTAAGAAAGGAAATCAGGCTTATATTTATACCAGGCTTTTCATTCTTAGAGAAAAAGAAACTGAAAGAAAGAGAAACTCCTGAACACATGTTTATATGCATTACTCCCGGGCTTTGAAATAAGTGGCTTCACTTACGGGGGGCAGAGCCCACCTTCCAGAGCAGTTCCTCTGCTGCATATTATTTTCTGCCTCTTTCTTTTCAATTTCATAAAGCACAAATTTCCTGCAAAACCTTCCCTCCTACACATAAAAGTAAAATGCAAATTAAAATTGCACCTCTTTATAAAAATGGCTTTGAAAGCAGAAGGTTACTTGGGGCCATAGCCCTTCCACAAATGCAGGGTCCCTCTCCTTCAGGGTCACTACTGGCAGAAGGTGATGATGACAAATACTTTTGCTGCAACAGAGAATAAGCAGTGTAATCAAGGGTGCTGGCAGCAAAGAGAAAGGTGTTTGCGAATGGTGCACAGGTTCGCCCAGTTCCAACCAAGTAGGCCCCTTGGCTTAGAGGATGAAACACATGTGTTGTACTGTATTTCCAGAGCTGATTTCTCAGATTGATTTTGAACAATGAGATTTCAAACCCCACAGAGCACAAGTGGTAAAGGCATCTGGCAAAGCTGATCACTTCTAATTTAATTCATGCACCGAGTGGACGGAGAGCCTACCTTTTGTCCCTGCACATCTGTCGTGATATGATCAGCTTCCCCATCTTCAATCTCCCCCATCTTCACAGCAATGACTTCTATGGTGCCAACCACTTTGCCACCATCAGAAGTTCTGCAAACAGAAATCAATGAAATGAAAATAGGAGACTCCTCTTTCAAACACATCCAAAACATGTTTATTTCTAAAAACCAGTAATGTTGTTTGCTTTTATGTTTTCTATATAACTGCTCAAAACACAGTAAGACATGCTACTGGTATTGATGTTGTCTTTAATTTGAAATGAAAATTAGCCACAGATTCATGAGATAAGGCATGAATCAAAAAAAAAAAACCCTACATCACAAAGATTAATTCTACTAAGGATAATCAAGAGCAGCTTGAGGAAAGAATACTGGGTAATAAATCAATGCTCTATCTCTAACCATCTGATCTCTACAATGACCATAAACCATGGCCCACCTCTACAATCTGCATGAGACAGTGTCTGTGTCAGCAACAGAAATGACAACTAAATAAAACAGAAAAGAAAATGAACATCAACCTATCTCTCTATGGCTGGGCCACTGTCAAAAAATCTGACTTTCTAATTTTTCTGCCTAGCACAGAGGCAAAGGAGATTCTTGTGTCGCAAACATTTGCTAAGGTACATGCAAAGCAGAACCTATCCTAGAGCTCATCTAGTTTGGCCTCTTAATTTTTCAAACAGAGAAGGTGAGGTTCAGAAGGACAAGAAGAGAAACTCCTCTTCAAAGTGACAAGTGGCAGTGCTGGGTTCCTATTGCCTTTAGATATATTGGTCATTAAACAATTCTATATTAAATGAGGAAGTCATTTTATTACTAAGAATGTAATCATTATTTTCAACAACATAAAATCTTATGGTTGATAATAATAATGAAAACAAAGACAAAATTAACAAGCCACCGCATGAAGATTCTCTAGATTTTATGCACCAAGTGAGGGGGCCATGTATCCCATGGGCATCATCATGCACAATATTCTTTTCTCTTGAGCCTTGCTGTAAAGAAGTGGTGCAAGCCATTGTGTGGTCTCATGTGTTGCGATACTTGTGCCTGAGCTCACCTGACTAAATAGCAAGGGCCACATGCAGCTTCACTTTCCTTATTTCTTCCGTGAAATTTATTTTTGACTTTAATCTGAAAGGCCATGGTGTATGTCTTTAGACCAATTCCTTTTAAGTGCTATTTTATTGTCATAAGAGTTATTTAAAAAAGGAAAAGGAAGCCTAGCATAAGGAGTTTGGCAGAACATTTCTTAAAATAATGCATAATTTAAGTGAAACGAAAAAAATTATGTTAGTAGATTATGGTCAAAGTTTCTAATAAAATGAAGTGTGCAAATTAAAATGCACATTTTGATTATGTTTTTAAGAAAAGTGAAATAAATCCTGGTGATAAATAAATACACAAGTAATGTCATAGTGTGAAAAAAATAAAGATGACATATGTAGCAAAACAAAAAGGATTATTGTTAGGTAGTCTATTATATGAAACAAAATGCTTCAAAACTTTTCAAATCAGCGGCAATCATAATATTGACTCAACTTTTAACAAATACATGTGCAAATCTGAAACGTTCATCACAAAGGAGAGGTGCATACAGGTGACAGCACAAGCTGCAGGATCCTAGAATACTGTAATGGCTCCAATTCTGACACGGTTTTCAATAATTCATTGTACCATTTCCCACCTCAATGTGACATAACACCTTGTCACAAGTCATAATGTGGCATATCTCTGTATAATTCTCCTATTAATTAAACAGTTTAACACAAACTTTCACAAGTATCATAGTTCTGTTGGTTTTGTTTTGTTTTGTTTTGTTTTCTGCCGAGAGATTTGCAGATCTCTTTCCCAAAACTGATTATCCACAACAAATCAAGTTATCTTTTCCTTCTCAAAAAGAAACAGGTTATCTGATTTTGCATAAATAGACTAAGCTGGCTTAATTTCTTTTTTTTCCTACTTATTCTCTTTTTTATTATTAATTTTATTGAGAAAGAAATAGCAATGAAACAGTTTCAAGATAGGTTAGTAGGGCAGTTACAATAATTAATACATTGCATATTGTTGTCTTCATAGCAGTTATCCATAGTACAAGGTGCAGACATGATATGCTGTCCAAACACCATTAGTACAAATCGTTCTTCTCATTGAATTAAGAGAAAGGAGCTGTATATCTATACTATTTTGTGTGTATATATTTTGTGTGTAAATATTTATATATATATATTTCACTACAAAATGGTCCTTCATTTATCTGCCCATTTTTTTGCTTAGTCTTGTGAGAGATGGGTATTCCATTGATATTGTAGGTGTGTGAATTCAGCAAAGTAATCCAATTAGGCCAGGAGTCCATAATAGTAGTGGGTTATCCACAGGACTGGCAATGTCAAAAGTTGCTAACTTGAGCTTTTGCAGCTCAGCATATTAATATGGCTTTACTTTTTATACCTCATTTTTATACTTCATTTTTTCTACTGCAAAATGGTCCTTCATTTATATCCTCCTTTTTTGTTTAGTTTTGTCAGAGATGGGTGTTCCATTGCTTTTGTATCTGACAAGGTCGGTCAAATTCCCTCAGGATTCATCCTGAAACCCTGCACAGCAGTTTGTAGATCCTTTGTCAGTGTCAGCCATGTGGATGAGTCATGGCCATTGCTTGACCAGTTTGCTCTCTGTGAAAGCCCAAGAGAACGTTTTCTCTCCAGGTGAGCTACCTTCATTTCTAGGAGCACAGATCCTATGCATAACAGTGCATTTTGTCACTGACTAACGTGATGATGGGTTACATGATCAGAGACAGCAGGCAGATCCTTCCCAGCCTCTGGAAGGCTGTGCAACATTCTGCTGTGAGATATGATGGCCATACACATGTGAATGTGAGATCTGAGTCGTGGTAGGCACAAGAAGCTGAGCTGTCCTCACTTCTAACTCCATCCCTCTCTTCAGGACTAAGCTCTGTGGGATGGCTAATGTGCTAAGTGTGTAATGCGGTGCTTTATGAAGGTGGTTGCTGCTCCTTCCCTCCTACTTGCCAATACAGTAAAGCTTCAGCAGTAGCATGAACCCAACTGCTACTGTCACTAATGTGTCCATTCATATTTAAGCTAATTGTCTACAGAAGTATTGCTGCAATATCCAAGACTACAGTAAAAAATGAATAAATTTTAAAAAGAGTATGAGACATCACAGCATATGTATTTCAAGAGTTGGGCTGGCCAGATAGCTCAGCGGATTAAAGTGCCTGCTTAGGCAAATGTAGGGATCATAGTTTGATCCCCAGCCTCTTGTGCCCTCCCTGACCCCAGGACCCTGTGAGACTGCGATTAAGACTGGGCATGGTAGAGCGCGCCTGTAATCCAAGAACTTGGGAGGTTGAAAACAAGAGAATCACTATGAGTCTGATCTGTGTGGAGAGAACCTGTAGACCCTGTACTAAATACATAAGAAATAAGAAAAAGAAAAGGAGTGATTAAATGTTCATTAAAGACACAAAAACTTAGGGATAGCAGATCATATGAAAATAAGCCTACATTTCCAACAGAGCACATTAATCTAGAACTACTGTAATACAAAAGAATCTTTAAAAATTACTAAATAGATAAATGGGAAATACAAGAAGGGAATAATTTCAGAGCTATAGCTCTTTCCCCTTTTTAAGTACTTAGGTACTCATGACAATGACTTTTCTGTCTTTGGGTTTTCCTTTTTATATTCTGTAGTCCCTTTATCCCTGCAAGAAGTCAAAGCTAGAAGGTTGCTTAATCTAGAAATATTATACAACTGTAACATCACTTTCCTTAAAATCACATTAGGTAGGTAGCTCTTTTGAGTAGCTTTAAGTATGTCTTATCATTTGAGATTCATAAGAGACTGAATTAATAAACACAAATTCAAGCTGAATTCTGGCACTGAAACACACTTCACCCTGTTATTAAATTAGAATGTAAAATGCAGAAACCACTTCCTATTTACTTAATAACCATTAGCTACATGTAGAATATGATATCTACGCCTCTCTTCAGCTAGAAGAGTCACAAATGAAATATTCATTTCATGTACCCCAATATCATTATTTCAAAAGTTAACTTCAAGGGCCGACAAGATAGTTCAGGGGACTAAGTGCCTGTTTAGGCAAGTGCAGAGACCAGGGTTTGATTCCTGGCACCACACGCTATACCCGCCCCCAGTACCCTGAGCTGGTCACTGAGCCTGGGCACAAGGGTGCATGTCTGCAATCCCAGTACTGGGAATGCTGAGACAGGAGGATCACTATGAGTTTGAGCTGCATAGTAAGAACCTGGACCAAATACATTTTTTAAAAAAATTAACTTCATGGAGATTGAGGTGAAAAACTCAAATGCTTAACGTGCTTTCAACTTATTACTCATCAGGCTGGCAAAATTCTACTTCAGCTAGAGTTAGCCACATGATCAAGGACTAATAACTTAACATTTCAATTTATTGTGCTATAAAACATAAGGTAGGTTTCTAACACCCACCTCATAAAATCATCTCTAAACCCCCTGTTCTAATCACAGTACAGTTCCATAATACAGCATCATGGGTTGACCTGTACTCAAGAAAAATTTCAGGCACATTCTAGCCTCCCCTCTCCACTCCCAAATTTCTTATCCAATCCCCCCCAAAATCCAACAGTATGTCAAATATGGGAAGTAAATGAATAAATAGGACTTAATCACAATCACAGATTATCCTCATATCCTTTCCTAACAATCATGGGCCAATGACATAAGGCTTTAGTCATAACTATCTCAACCTATATGAAGATTAAAAAAGAAGAAGAAAACTATGTCATTTCAGACAGCATGTTGCCAGGTCATTATCACTAGTGAAAGCAGAGAAGCATAGAAAGAAAGTGATGAATAGTTCATGACCACCACAGTCTTATACTACAGTGTCATGGACCTCTCTCTCCATCAGCAGAGTGGCTTAAATGTTTAACCACACCAACAATATACAGGAGACAGGGAAGGGGAAATTTTAACACTACACGTCTACACTCTTCTCTACTGGGTTTTTAGTTACACAATACATTAGTGACTGAAGCTCTTCAAAACTCGACCT